GGGGCGGGAACCAAGGTGCCCAAGGTTGGCAAGACGAAGATCCCTTGGATGATACGGCATCTCATGCTCCGATAGTACCACCCAAAACCTTGTAGGGGGAAGCTGCGGTAGCGGGGGATGGCGGGAGGTCTAACGAAACAGAGGGAGTACCCCCAGTTGCAGCAGCGCAGCAAGAAAGATCAGAAGCACAACCATCGACTATTCCAACTAGTGTGCCCCCACGATATGTAGACCCAGGACTCCTTATACAAATAGTTAAAGCAGTGATGGAGGGTATGGCGGGTTCAGCGACACAAGCAACTCCCACCACGCAGATTCCATATGCAGCCCCTATGACAAGCCTGACTACAGATAACGTGGTGCCATTGGTACGACTAGTCAAGAGTATGAGGGAAATGGGCTGTGAACCGTATATGGGGGAACAAGATGCAGAGATAGCTAGAAGATGGATTAGGAAGGTAGAAAAGACCATGGTTCAAATAAGCATACCTGAGGGGTTGAGGGTAAACTGTGCAACCCAGTTATTGTCTGATAGGGCCATGACATGGTGGGAAACAGTTCAGCTGAGGCGTGCAACTGAGACACTAACTTGGAGTGATTTCAAGACAGAGTTTGAGAATCAGTTTTATTCCAGGTACCATCGTAAGGTGAAAGAACAAGAGTTCTTGGCATTAAGACAGGGTGATATGTCGGTATTGGAGTACGAAAGGAAGTTCCATGATCTCTCATTGTTTGCCCCACACTATGTGCCAACAGAGGAACATATGATTGAGAAGTTGAGAGATGGTTTGCGACAGGACTTAAGACAAGGATTGATCGCCTTACGATTTAAATCAGTGAGAGAGTTGATTGAGGCTGCCCAAGCTTTGGAGGCTTGTATTGGAGAAGGCTAGGGGGGATATCAGGGCATAGGCAAAAAGAGAGATGGGGACTTTTTCAGTAGCAGACCACCATTCCCGAAGAAAGGAAAAAGTGGAGTGTTTGAGCAGTACAAGAAGAAGGGGAGTTTGATGTTACCGCCCCACCAACAGTCAAGTGGGAGAGTGATGGTTGGACGGTCGCACTCGAGGGAAAACTCTTCAACTGGGACTGGTGACCGCAAGGGTATTGACTATCCTTTTTGTATGAAATGTGGGCAAAAACACCCTAGGGACTGCTCAGTTTCCCCCGGGCGATGCTTTGTGTGCAGAGGAGGTCATAGGTGGAGGAACTGCCAGTATTTGAGTCAAGGGTGTCATTACTGTGGTGGAAGAGGTCATTTCAAGAGGGACTGCCCGAAAAGGAACACTGGACAGGTACAAAGCTATAGGCAACCCAGCCAGAGCCAACAACAGTCAGTCACCGTGAATAGGCCAGTGAGATCTTCTCAATTAGGAGCAAACTCTAGTCGAGGGAGACCTAGGGCACAAAATGATAGGACCTCGGGGAGGGTCTTCCACCTGACACAGGAGGAGGTTAGGGTTGCATTGGATGTGGTGGCAGGTACACTACTATTGAATGATTTTAATGTGCATGTGTTGTTTGATCCGGGTGCCACCCACTCATTCATTGCTAAGAGAATTGCCACTAAACTGAGAAAGGGAGTAGAAAAAGTAGAGAAGGGATTCTTAATTGGAACTCCAATGGGAAACATGGTTGAAACAAATATTGTGTATGTGGATGTGGGGGTTAGTCTATCTGGGTATGAAACAAAAGTAGACTTGATTCCCTTAGAGATGCATGATTTTGACATAATCCTAGGCATGAATTGGTTGAGTAAATACAAGGCTCTAATAGATTGTTATGCTAAAACTGTTACTTTCCAAACCCCTAAGGGCGAGAGAATGATTTTTGAAGGAGAGAGAATTCTCAAACCAATCGCCTTGATATCGGTGGTAACAGCCCAAAAACTTTTAAGAAAGGGATGTATGGGATACCTTGCATACATCTTAAATTGTGATGATGAAGGTCCACGACTGAAGGATATTCCTGTGGTGAAGGAATTCCCAGATGTGTTTCCCGAAGAACTACCGAGACTACCCTCGGAACGAGAGGTAGAAGTGTCTATAGACACTTTTCCTGGAGTCCCACCTATAGCCCAACAACCGTATCGGATGGCTCCGACAGAACTGAACGAATTAAAGACTCAATTACAGGAATTGTTAGACAAAGGGTTCATACGGCCTAGTAATTCTCCATGGGGGGCACCGGTGTTGTTTGTAAGAAAGAAAGATGGAACCCATAGACTTTGTATTGACTACCGACAACTGAACAAGATAACAATGAGAAACAAGTATCCATTACCTCGGATAGATGATTTGTTTGATCAATTAAAGGGAGCGAGGGCATTTTCGAAGATAGATCTGAGATCAGGGTACTATCAGATGAAGATTAAAGAAGCGGATGTAGCAAAGACTGCATTTAGAACTCGTTATGGACACTATGAATTTTTGGTGCTACCGTTCGGGTTGACGAACGCCCCAGCCCTCTTCATGGACTTGATGAATCGGGTTTTCCAACCATATCTTGATAAGTTTGTGGTGGTGTTCATTGACGATATATTGGTGTACTCAAATTCTTTCGAGGAGCACGAAGAACACTTGAGACAAACCTTACAAACCTTGAGAGATCACCAGTTATATGCAAAACTGAGCAAATGTGAATTTTGGTTGAAGAGAGTGACGTTTCTAGGACATGTCATTTCAGCCGAAGGTGTTTTTGTAGACCCCCAAAAAGTTGAGGCAGTCTTGAAATGGGAAAGACCAACTTCGGTCACCGAAATACGTAGCTTCCTGGGACTTGCAGGATACTATCGGAGGTTTATCGAAGGTTTTTCCCTAATTGCAACCCCTTTGACCCAGCTAACTAGGAAGAATAAGAAATGGGTGTGGTTAGAAGAATGTGAGAAAAGCTTCCAAGAATTGAAGAGGAGGCTCACCACTGCTCCAGTGTTGACCCTTCCCTCAGGGACCGAGGGTTTTGTGGTATATAGTGATGCTTCGGGGAAGGGATTGGAGTGTGTTCTGATGCAACATGGGAAAGTGATCGCCTATGCATCAAGACAGTTAAAGACTCATGAGGTGAACTACCCAGTGCACGACCTGGAGCTGGCTGTTGTAGTTTTTGCCTTGAGGATATAGAGACACTATTTGTATGGGTCTCGAACCCAAATTTTTACTGATCATAAGAGTCTGAAGTATTTGATGTCGCAAAAGGAGTTGAACATGCGACAAAGAAGGTGGATAGAGCTCATTAAGGATTATGACTGCACCATAGAATACCATCCGGCGAAAGCAAACGTGGTGGCAGATGCCCTCAGTCGCAAAAATAAAGCCACCCTAGGAAGGTTAACAGTGGGAAAGGAGCGGCAATTGGCAGAATTGAAAGAGATGGGTGCAGATTTGGACATTAATGCCAGAGGTGGGTTAGTAGCCCAATTATTGGTGCGACCAACGTATCGGGAACAGATACTACATGCCCAATTCCATGACAAGGAGGGGTGTAAGATTAGGAGGAATGTGGAGGCTGGAGTAGAAATGAAATTTCGAGTAGCGGATGATGGATCCTTGATGATGGGACAACGGTTATACGTGCCTAGTGACGAAACAGTCAAACGAATGGTTCTACAAGAAGCACATGAGTCTCGGTTCTCCATACATCCTGGCAGCACTAAGATGTATCGAGACCTGAAACACCTCTATTGGTGGCCTGGTATGAAAAGGGAAATAGCTGAGTACGTGTCTAAGTGTGGGATATGTCAACAAGTCAAGGTTGAACACCAAAGGCCGGCGGGACCATTACAACCGTTACAAATTCCAGAATGGAAGTGGGAGATGATCACCATGGATTTCGTGTCAGGATTTCCCAAAGGGAGGAAAGGAAATGATGCGATATGGGTTATCATAGATCGGTTGACGAAATCCGCACTATTCTTGCCTATAAAGATGACCGACTCGGTGGACAAGCTTGCCAAGATTTATATAAATGAGGTGGTACGGCTTCATGGGATTCTAGTGTCCATTGTATCAGATCGAGATCCCAGGTTCACCTCTCGACTTTGGCCAAGCATACAACATGCCTTGGGAACAAGATTGGACATGAGCACTGCATTTCACCCTCAAACGGATGGCCAGTTAGAAAGAATCATCCAAGTCTTGGAAGACCTATTACGGGCCTGTGTTTTGGAATTTGGAGGAAACTGGGAGGAACACATGGCATTAGTGGAGTTCACATATAACAATAGTCACCAAGCCACAATAGGGATGGCCCCATATGAAGCCTTGTATGGTAGGAGGTGCAGAACTCCTTTATGTTGGGAGGAAATCGGAGACCGGAAGTTATATGGCGCAGAATTGGTCCAAGTCACCACGGAGAAAGTGAGAACTATCAGGGATCGCATCAAAGCCGCACAGGATAGACAGAAGAAGTATGCTGATGTGAGGAGAAGACCTCTCAAGTTCAGTACAGGGGACCAGGTATTCCTGAAGGTAGCCCCATGGAAGAACATGTTACGGTTTGGATTGAAAGGGAAGCTAACTCCCCGCTTCATTGGACCCTTCAAAATCTTACAGCGAGTAGGACCAGTAGCCTACAAAGTGGACTTGCCCCCACAGTTAGCCAAGGTCCATGATGTGTTCCATGTCTCATTGTTAAGAAAGGCTGACGTGGACCCCACCCGAATCCTACCCTAGGTTCCAGTAGAAGTCAAGGAAGACTTAACACTAGAATTGAGGCCCATAAGGATACTTGATCAGGAAGTGAAGGAGCTACGGAGCAAAAAGATCCCCATCGTCAGAATTTTATGGCGAAATGCTCAAGTAGAAGAGGAAACTTGGGAGAGGGAGGCTGAGATGAGGAAAAAGTACCCTAATTTATTTGAACTACCAGGTATGCAGTATGAAACCTCTTAAATTTCGAGGATGAAATTCCTATTAAGGGGGGGAGAATGTAAACACCTAAAAGAAAAATATATATATATATAGACAGAACTGATGAAGCAGTTTTCGCTGCCGATTTCTCGATCGGTAGCGACGCAGTTTCTGCTGCCGATTTCTGCATCTGCAGCGAAGCAGTTTCCGCTGCCGATTTCTGCATCTGCAGCGACGCAGTTTCCGCTGTTGATTTCTGCATCGGCAGCGATGCAGCTTTTGTCTTTAAAAATAAAATAATAATAATTTTCTTAAGGAGTTGAAAGGGAGGGGTAAAACTGGTTTTAGATAGACCAAAACAAGGATAAAAATACATCTAAACCAACTCCCAAACACCCACCTCATTCAATGGGGAGTATAAATATAAGGAGCAGAGAGAAGGTAACCCTAGCTTTTATCAAAGTTGCTGCAGTTGTATGTCCAGCTGCTTGTTACTCTCCCTTTCTCCTCCCTAACAGAAACCTAAGCCTTGTGAACGTGTGAGGGAGAGAGAGGAGACCTTGAGAGAAGAGTGGACAA